CCTACGCGGCTTATATTGATAAGGACGTGGCCCAGACTGTCCTAGAGGTTCTGAAGCATCCCCACTGCTGTCATATAATTTTAAGGCATTCGAGTCACTCTCTTCTGAAAAAAGATCGTCCGAACTATTGCTAGGAAACTGTGTTGCGTAATATGTTAGTTCCACCGCTTACGTCACGACCCCTCGCTATTGACGGTTTTCACCGGAAGTGGAATTTCACTTAAAAATGCCAATTTTCTCACTAAAAGAAGTCGAATTGGGCAAAACGAATCGCAAATTCGTATTCTAAACCACTTTTTACGTAGTATAAGAAAAACATGTATTTTTGGGTTTACATGCCCTTTAAAGTACATATAACTATGTTTGATAGTTTACTATTTAATGTGAATATTGTCTTTGCAAAGCCCTTATGGGGAAGGATAATGAAGTACGTAAATAACGTAAAAGAAAACAGTACAATGGGGTCCATGGCGAGCAAGGTGCGAAAGAAACGAAAGACATGCTCAGACAGGGTTTTGTAACTTTGCATTGGCGGTTGAAACCTGCCCCAAATTTCAACCGTAGCTGGGGAATTTAGGGATTTCTCAGATTTTTGATAAGGTAAAGGAAACCGGAGCTTTCAATATTATTTCAAGGATAAGTTTTCGTCCGGACTTCTTTGGGCCTAACGGGGAGAAATTCGATTTAATAATTCTACTCATCACTAGAGATCGGGGACATTTCGAGCCCGTTACGAAATGTCAGCGGTTTATCGTATTACAGAAAATTCAATATGGCGACGGTGCAAGTGAAGTGACCACCAGATCGAAGCAGATTTTAAGAGTTTGTGTGGGAAAATGGAGTCAGAATTATGAGTTTACTCGTATACCCTGGGAAAAGGTATGGTTGAGTTTGAGTATTTCTTTTTCGTAGTGATGGACGCCTTAACCGGTGCAGGCTGCATTTCCAACCACGCAGCGAAAGAATATCCCATTCTTTGACAGCTATTTTGAAAAAACAATCTTTTTCCATACATTTTCTTATACTGTTTCGGTGCCATTTGGCTTGTAACACGAGAACTTCCTCCGCCATATTGTTCCAAATTACTGGCAATGACTGGGGCGATTAAGACTAATGTTCTCAGGAAAATACTATTTACGAATGTTTTACAGTGATTGATGCTAATTGGTTAGGTAAGTTGAGGTAAGGTAAACTTTATTTGATAAGTAGGTTGAGATTGTTTGGCAGCCGAAGGGCTGATGTGGACCTACTATTTACAATCAAAACTTAATAAACACAAAAGATATTAACAAAAGAATAAAAGCTATGCACAGGGAGAAAACAATATATATCCATGCAAAAAACTGAGATTTACAAGAGCCTAATTGAAATAATAATATAATACCAGAAAATAAAATGCTTAAAAGTATATAAA